CGCGCGCGTCGGCCGATCAACTTGGCCGACCAACTGGGCCGATCAAGTCGTCAACGCGCGCTCGTGGTCAATTCGGCCGATCAGCTGAGCCGATCAACTCAGCCGATCAACTCGTCCGATCAACTCGGCCGATCAACTCGGCCGCTCACGTCGGCCGATCAATTTGGCCGATCAATTCGGCCGACCAAATCGGCCGATCAACTCGGCCGATCAAATCGGCCGGTCGACTCGGCCGATCACCTCGACCAGTCCACTCGGCTGGTGCATTTGGTTGGTTAAGTGAGGCGGCAAGCTCGCGGGAGGTCAGCGCGGGCGGTCAATTCCGGGTCGGGCGCCCACGCGCGCCGCCTGTGCCTGGGCGCGCCCGCCCACGCACGCCGCATGCACATGGGCGCGCCCGCCCGCGCTCGCGGTGGGTGCCAGAATGTTTTCATTCAGAGGTTCACAGACTAAAGAGATTCGCTTGACCTGGCATTCCATGGGTTCGTTCAGTTTCGGGCGTTCCAGGATCGCCCAGGCGCTCAAAGCCTCGGTCGACCCAGAGCCTCCCAGACTCTTGCGCTTCGGTCGACCCAGAGCTTACCAGACTCTTGCACTGGGGCCGTCTGGTTGATGGAGTTCACGCAAATTGTTCAGATGGCACCGAAACGCATGGCGACCTTCGATTATCCCTAGCAAAAACCGTTCGCGCACTGCGCGAGAGGAGCGCAGCGCAGAGCGTCCCGCCCTAATCGTCTGGCTGACGCCGAGACAGGGGAAGCCCTGGCAAGCGAAGTTCACGACAACCTTTCAGCTTACGCCGAGGCGACCGCTCGGATAACGCGTCCGCGCCGCCGCGCGCGCGGCGGCGCTGGGCCGACGCGCGTGGAGACAGGCGGCGGGGGCGGCTTCTGCGCCGTCGCTCGCTCGACGGCGCCGGCCCGTCGCTCGCGGAAAGAGCGCGCCGCGAGCGGTTCCTGCGACGCCGCGCCAGGGGGCGCCGCGCCGTCGCGCGCGAGGGGCGCGTTGGAGGCGGCCCCTGTGCCGCCGCGCGCGCATCGGCGCTGGGCCGTCGCGCGTGGGGCATCGCGGCGAGGCCAGCTTCTGCGCAGCCGCGCGCGCGGCGTCGCTGGGCCGTCCTGCGCTGCGACATCGACGGGGGCGGTCTCTGGCGCCAGCGCGCGAGCGGCGGCGCTGGGCCGTCGCGCGCGCGGCAGGCGCAACGCCGGCGGCCCCTGCGCCGCCGCGCGCGCGGTGACGCTGGGCCGTCGTGCACGGTGAAGCGCAACGCGAGCGACCGCTGCGCTGCCGCGCGCGCGCAGCGCTGGGCCGGCGCGCCCGAGGAAACGCGGCGGGGGCGGCCCCCGCGCCGCCGCGCGCGCGGCGGCGCTGGGCCGCCGCTCGCAGGAAAACCCGTCGAGACCGGCTTCTGCGCTTCCGTGCGCGGGGCGGCGCTGGGCCGTCGTGCGCGGAGAAACACCTTGGAGGACGCCGCAGCGCCGCCGCGCGCGCGGCGGGCCTCCGCCTTCGCGCGCGGAGAAATTTATCGGTGGCGACCTCTGCGCCGCCGTGCCCGCGGTGGCGACGCTGCGTCAAGAAACGCAATGAAGGCGGCCACTGCGCCGCCGCGCGCGCTGCGGCGCCGGGCCGCGCCGCGCGGATCACCCAGCGGGGGCGGCCCCTGCGCCGCCTCACGCGCGGCGGCGCGGGGCCGCCGCTGGTGGAGAAAACAAGGGCAGCTTCTGCGCCGACTCGCGCGCGGCAGCGCTGGGCCGTCCTGCGTTGAGGCATCGATGTACGGCGGTGGGGGTTGCACCGCTGGCGTAACATATCTTGGAAACGCGGACCTGGTGCACGCTCTCTTGTTTGGACGTAAACGCGGCGGTGTTCTACGGGCGTCGATTCGCCAAATAATTTGCCAGTGCATTAGCGCAGGCTCGTTTGAGTGCACCATCTCATCTCGCGCTGTTTTTTTGGTTGCATGTTTTTTGAGCTAGTTGGCGCCAGCCGATTCCGACATTTTCCCAGATGTGTTAGGCTGCCGCATGCCATCAAACCCGGGGAGACGACCTCAGACTGAAGTTCTAGATGGAAGTCATGCTGGGCCCGCGGCGCAACGAACATCTGGATCGGAAACTTCGCGCACCAAGAGCACGTCGACGCGAACATCGGCGAACCAAGAACCACGGCGACGAGCGACCAAAACGGCCCTCCTGACGCCCCGGCGGGTTTCCCTACAGACCAGACCCCCCAGACATTTCCAACACCGGGCTTGTTCTCTGACGATCCCGGGGCCTGACAATTGCCCCGGGAAGTTGGGAATTGCTAAACGGGGTTTCTGGGCTTGCTCCCCCCCCCCGGACATCCGATGTTTTGTTGTTCCAGCACTTGGCCCCCAGAATCCCCGACCCTTTCCCAGGGGTGACTATTCATCTTGACGGTGTCTTGGAGCCCGAACCCTGCCCCCAGGGGCCGAGAACGGCGAAAAACTTCCGCCCCGATCTTCGGCAAGACGTCGGGTGCCTGAGCCTCCCTTGCGCGCGGGCCTGGCGGCAAGGGGGGTCGGATCTCGATCACTCGAGGGCGAAACCGCCCCCGCGAAAAGTGCGGCGCGTCTGCTCGCACGCTGCGCGAACAAGGGTCCCACCAGGACAGCCACGCTGCCCGTGGATCATGCTGGAGTGCAAGTGGCTTTCCGCAGATACATCATGCGACCAGGCGATTCCGAAATACTGGTACTGCTGGGAGGTCGCAGCGCCCCACTTGGAAGTGGAGGGTGAAAAAGGCGTTCCCGGTTCGTCGTCGTCGGCGCCGTCGAGGCCGCCAAGCCGCAGCCATCGACCCGGATGAGAAACATTTTTTTTGTCCCATGGCCCCCCTGGCCGTTTCTGCTTGTCCGTCGCCCGGCCGCATGCCGCGCGCAACGGGGCGCGCCTCCCCCCCGCCGTCCCTGCGAGCAGCAGGCGCGTCCGGCGTCCGCGCCGCGGGCCGCGCCCGCCGTCCGGGTCAGCAGCTCCGGGCAGCCGTGGGCGCCAGCCAGCGGAGGCGCCCCGGGGGGGCGGGGGGGCGGCGCTCCAGTTTTCCAGTCGGAGGATCGCGCCACATCGCCGATGCATCGGCGATGCGGCTCGATTTTGAGCCTGATTTCCTCAACGTCAACGTCGCCCATGCATCGCCGATGCAGCGGCGATGCATCGCCGATGCAGCGCGATCTTCCGACACCATCTCCTCCGACCTCATTTGGGAGGCCTCTTGGCGTGGGGCCGGGGGGCGGAAGCTCTCTTTCTTGTCGTGGCGCTAGCGCTGGCACAGCGCGGGTCGGCCCAGGGCGGGTCGCGCCATGGCGAAGTCGCACGGATGCAGGGCCTGGGAGGAATCGCGGGGGGGGGAGGATTGGGGGACTCGGGAAAGGACGAAGTGGACTCACTGCTGGTGTTGCGGCCCAGGCTCGGGGTGGAGTCGTGCCAAGGGGCAGCCAGGGCTGCACAGCGCTGACCTCCAAGGTGCAGGTTGCGGTAAACGGAGTGGTGATCCAGGATCCGGGCGTTCCGAGTGCGAAATGTCGGGCTAGGGGACGAACAAGTTGTCGCGGGATCTTGTCGATGCCGATTTGGGTTGTTGTTCATGCCGAACGTCGCCGATTCGCGAGGATGATCCATGGATCGACGATGACAGAAATGGACGGTGTCCGAGATTGGCATCGACGTTTCCGCGTGCAGTGCTGGTTAGGGTCATCGTTGTCTTTCCCTCCGTGGAGGGGGGAACCCTCAGGAGGAGCTGGCGGCGTGGAAACGAGGGGTGGCGTGCTGAGAGGGCGGGAGGGGTTTCTCAGAAAGCATTGCTTCTGAGAAGGTGTGTGTGGGGGGGGGAGGCGTTCTGAGAGGGTGGAGGGGGGGCGTTTTGAGAGAGTGGGGGTCAGTAGAGGGGTCCGCCAGCTTCGGAGAAGACCTCTCAGAAGCCAAATAATCAAGCTTTCCAGAGGCTTCCTGCCTGCGTGGACTTAGCCGCAGAATAGCGGCAGAACGCATGTTTTCTGCCATCGTGTGAACATATGCCAGGCGAGATCACGAGTCCTGAGTAAAAGTTCAGACAGTTTCGTGTCAGAGCGCGACTCCTGGGCGTCGACGGAGCGGTGCTTGACTACACTGCAAGGAAGTGTGGAGCGAGAGCACGTTTCTTGAGTAATTTGGGAGGACCCCCGCGCGAGAACGCGGTTTCAAAACATCGCGAGGACGTATCGGGCGAGAGCCGATTTGCTGTTACCGTAAACCAGGGATCAGCAACCCAGTTCGAACTTCAAGACCTTCCTAGAAAAAGGTAGTTTGCGAGCCCCAGGCGGATGCACTTCAACTAACAAAACCAAAGTGCACCAGACAGATGGGGATCCATTTTTGGGGGTCTGATATGGGAGGTCAACAATCATGCTTTCTGTCATTGCTCTTCGTTGCTCGCGTGCCACTCAGCTTGTACAGCCGCAATCCCTCGATGCCCGCCCTCTTCGTCTTCAGTCGTGCCCCCTTTGTGGTTAGATGTCTTGCCCGCCACATGTAGTTGGCGCGGCCCCTAAAATTGGACGAGGAGCGAGGGACGTGGGACGGGAAGCAAGGAAGGCAGGACGAAGCGACAGGGGAGGGGGGCCAAGAGGGGCATATGAGGATTGAGGACGAAAAAGATGTAGTAGAAGGGAGAGGAAGGAAAAACAGGAGGATTGGCAGACAGGCGGGTCGGGCGGGACTTCTCGGGCTTCTCGAGGCCTCTCGGGCTTCTTGGGCCTCCCGAGAGGCTTCTTGGGCTTCTCGAGATCTCTCTGGCCCCCCGAGAGGCCATTTGGGGCTCTCGAGGGGCTTCTTGGGGCTCCCAAGAGGCTTGTAGGGTTCGAGGGCCCTCTTGGGGCTCTCGCGAGCCCTTCTGGGCTTGCCGAGAGGACTCTTGAGCCTCACGAGATGCGTTGGAGCGCCCGAGAGGCCATGTGGGACCAAGAGGAGTCCGGCACCCGCTGGGGGAAATCGATCGCATTCCAACATGAATCAACACAGAGGAGGCACATCGGCCTCAAAGAGGTCGCGAGGCCACGTTTGCTCAAGCCGTGTTGGCTAGAGGCAGGGTTTGTCCGAGGCGGTGGACGGCCACAGGCCTGGAAGCTGGGGCGCGCGCGGCCGACATGGCCGAGCTCACAGGAGCGCAGCTGCAGCGGACCTGTGCGCCGCTGTACCCGTCCTTCGCACTTGAGTCTTTTGCCGCCCTGGTCCTGTTCTTTTTTTTTCTCTACCTGTCCATCATCATCTCGACCAGGCAGCAGCTCAAGACGCCGGCGAAGTCGATAGCCAAGTTGATCTTGCACAACCTCACGGGCTGGTGGGAGGACACGGTCAGAGTGCTCAGCAGGTGGAGTGAGATGGGCGAGATGTCGATGCCCAAGCGATTACGCTTCTGCCGGAGGTTGAACGCGACGATTTGCCGGTCGCAGGCCGTCATCGCGCTTTTGGCCGTGACCCGCTGGCTGCACATCAACAACGTCAACGGTTTCCGGTACCTGGGCTACGCCTTCACTTGCCCCCTGATGCAGGCCGAGCTCATCCTGATCATCGCGCCGATCGTGCCGTGCTACAGGATGGTGACGCAGATGACTGCCATTATTACTTTCCTGATGCTGCTGTCTGGGTACATCGCGTCCCAGTTCGATGGGAAGCTGTGGGACGGCGACATCGTCCTCGACAGGAACCTCAGCTTCCTCACCACGAAAGGCTGGGTAACGCTCCCGAGCATGGTCATCCTGCTCTTCCTCTCTTTTGTTCAGATCCCTGTCCTGGGCCTGCTGTACTGCTGGAACGGCGGTGGCCGCGACGGCAGATTCCCGGCCGGTTACCTGAAGCTCTTGGCGATCACGTCCGTCACGTGGCTCCTCTTCCCCATCTGGTGGTTTCTGTCCTTTGAGGGCGAGGGCTACATCCAGGACACCAAGCTCAACGGCGCTGGCTTCGCTCTCCTCAACATGACCAGCAAGGGCGCGTTCACGATGCAGATGCTGTCCATGGTCAAGCAGTGGAAGCGCGACTTCGGGAACACCGGGTTTGGGCGGCAGACCTCGGTAGATTCCGCCGTTGCGGACCTCCAGAATCTCTCGCCTCGCAGCAACAAAACCGAGAAGTCTGCGGACTGGATCATCAATGGCTTGAAGACGTTCGATCAGGGCAGCGATAATTCGCTGGATCGGGTCCCAGGTCTGGGCCCCGAGGCGCAGTTGCGGCCACCACCCGAGAAGACGATTGTCCTCGACACGACTTGCCTGAGCGATGAGGTGCTTGTCTCGGAGCTGGCGAGGAGGATCAACCTGAGCAGCGTGGGCAACACCGACCACATCGTCGGCAAGCCCCTCGACCCCCAGGAGCTCTTCAAGCAGGCGCTGGACAAAGAGATAGCCATGGCGTGCTCGAAGTTCGCCTGTGAGGACGACGATGAGGACGACGAGGAATGAGAAGGCGGTCGGTCATACCTCGGGGCTCCGTTTCTCCAGGGACGCCACAGCGACCTTGGTCGAGCCAGAAAATTCGTGGGCGTCCTTCCAGCCTCGGTCACCACAGGCAGCCTGTGGCGCTTGGCCAGGGCTTCGCGGGCCGCGCCGAGAGTGTGGCTGCTCGGAAGGGGTTCGGCCAACCGTCCGAGACCTCTTGCAAGAGATGACAGACAGACAGAGATAACTAGACAGGCGAAGGCCGTGCGTGAATGTCGCATCGGTCGTACGTCACTGTGTGCAGGAATCCAGCCACGCTGCTTCGCAGACCCGCCACCGCGCCGAAAGGTGTCAACGGTGCATTGGTGGGTTCATTTTTTTTGGTGGCGCGGTCATTTAGGCCATGGCGGATCTTCCGGCAGCATCTGGACGTTAGCGCACCGCGTGCACAAAGTTGTTTACGATGTGCGTCGTCACCACGACGTTTTCATTTTTAACGCGTGAGTGCGATCTCTTGTTTGTAGCTGAGTCCCATTTGGTTCAAACAAGACTTAGACTTTGATTCGGACAGTGGCTGACCTTCCGGCAGTCGTGTGATCAATCGAGTCTCGTTTTTTGCATTGTTGATGCCTTGAGAGGAAGAAAATGCCACCACAAGGGTGAACAGCACGCTCCCCGCTGTGGTCTGAGGCGGACGGCGGAGGAGGACGACGACGACGGCGCCAGCTCTCACGACAGCCACCCGCGGGACGCCCCGCAGGGGGCAGAAGTGCCGGCGCGGCCGGCGGCGCCCCGGTCATGGCCCGCAGGCTCAGCGCCGCGGACAGGCACGCCGCCCCCTCCCAGAGGAGGAATAGATCGGTAGCAAATCATGGGAGCCTGGTACACCCGCTCAATTCCGTCGTTCGCGTCGATTAGCGTCTGGGAGTCGACGATTTAGCGTCGGTTAGCGTAGAATAGCGTCGATTTAGCGCCAGTGTCCATCAGTCGGGCGACGAGAAGTATTCTAGGCCTCTTAGATGGGGTCGGAGTAGATGGAGTCGGAGGATCACACCGCATCACCGATGCATCGCTGATGCGGCTCGATGCGGAGCCCGATTTGCTTCACACCGACGTCGCCGATGCATCGCCAGCGCCATTTTGTGCTTCGCCGATGCATCGCCGATGCATCGGCGATGTGGTGTGATCCTCCGACCCCATCTACCCCGACCCCATCTACTCAGAACAACACAAATGCCATAAACACTAACTTTTGGCGGTCCGCGCGGATTTATTGGATCCGCGTTGGGCCCCCCCGGCGGTGCCTCCGGCGCCGCCCCTGGAGCGCTCCGCGCACCAGGGAGGGGGGTCCAGCGCAGATCGCTCCAAGAAATCCGCGCAGAGCGCCACAAGTTTAAGTTTATGGCGTTTCTTCTTCTTCTAAAGAGGAGGTTCCCCTCGGTTCCCCTCAGCGCAGAAAGCTCCCGACGGAGGGGGTTCGGCCAGTTTCTGCATCTCCAGGGGCTTTCGCCTGGCCTCGGGACCGTAGAAGAAATGCCTGAATGAGAACTGGTCCTGTTGAAGGGGTCCAGGCCATTGGCATCAGCGATGTTGCGATACACCGTCCCGCCCCAAGTTCCATCCTTCTGCATCCCTAAAAGCTTTCCTTTGCACCACGAGAAGCGCCCCCTTGAAGGACCAGCGCAGTTGGGCCTGCTATTCGGCGAGGTCCCAGTCCCGCGCGCGATCAGGAACGCCAAGAATATACGATCGTACAGTTCAACGGGGAAGAGGTCAAGAGGGGGGAGAAGGCGCGGCCGTTGACACCGTCGGCGAGAGCGCCCGACAGCGTGTCTGAGGAAGAAGAAGAGCGCGGCCGCCCTCCAGGAGGCAGTGTGCAGCATGTCTGGTCGCCAAGAGACGGCATAGCTCAGGGTACGGTAGGTTCATGTCGTGATGTGCCGACGCATCAGCGACCCCAGCGTGGGCTTTCAAGGTTGAACGCCGCCGGTGGCCCAGAGTCGGCCAATACGGAACGATCTGGCGATTCAAAGGCCGCCGATCGCTCAAGGTTGAATGATCCACGAGGTGTCAGAAATCAACGTCGAGGTCGTCACGACACGGACTTGCCGTAGCCTTCCGATACCAAGCGGGTGTGCCAGCTCCGTGGCTTACGTGTTGAATTCTCCCAGATAGGAAGAACCGAGCAACGATACATTGGATAAATGTTGGACGCTCCGCGTGGATTTCTTGGATCTGCGCTGGGCCCCCTTGGCGGCGCCTCCAGCGCCGCGCGCTCGATGCGCTAGGGACGGGGTTCAGCGCGAATTCAAGAAACCCGCACGGTCCTCCCAATCTGTATTCTTATGCAGTCTATTGCTCCCCCCAGGCCCTTCGCGTCGCAAAAAAAAAACACGACACAGGTTTTCGATCATCTTCGAGTCCCAGGACCGTCAACAACTCGGGATGAAAAGCCAGCCCCAATGGAAGGGTTTGGGGTCCAGGTTGCGAGCAAAACCACGACGTCGTAGGTATGGGGAGGGACGAACGAATGCCCAGACCTCCGACCTCGCGAGTCGCGATTTGTTGCAGTCCTCCTTTAGTTGGGTTCGCGTTTTGGATAGACGCTGCACCCATCCTCCTTCTCCTTCTCATCCTTGCCTCCTCCCTCCATCTCCCTTCCTGCCTTCTACCTAATCTACTGCCTCCTACCTTTTACATGTCTCCTGGATGTCTCCTACTTCGCCTCCTGAGCGCTTGTATCTGCTGCAAATTGAGTAGCAGCCGTCAAGTTCGTAAGCTCTCAGGGAGTCTAGCGGAGCGACGTCTTATTCTGCCCTGAAGTATGGCCTCCCTTTGTGGGCGTTGCGAACTGCGGACTTGTCTGCGGATTCGTGAGCCCCTCGGATGTCCAGCGGTGTAACGCCTTATCAGATCTGTATGGCCCATCGAAATATCATTTGATTCATATCCGGATGTTTCCCCCTATCTGAAGCATCGGTTTCGTGTTATTCGGGTGATGCTTCAGCCTCCTCCTTTTTATCTCTCGCTTCCGCCGTCTTTCAGCCCATACTCAGACCCACTCATGCTCATACTCATTCACCCTGAGACAGCCTGAGGCTCAATCACACTATGGCTCACACGCAGACTCACTTATATTCGTATTCGTGATTTAACCGCTTCGCTCATTCCGCCGGACCACATTGCGCACCGCAGTCGACTGGCTGAGAGGGCGTCGGCAGTGCGGAACTGCAGGGGGCGGCGGCTGTTTTTTTTGAGGCGTTGCTTTCGGCATGGTGTTGAAACTGCCCCCGTGGAACAGCTTCGTGTCGATTCGTGTCGACCTTCTGTGGAGGTGTCGGGGGAATCGTTGGTTTCACGGGGCTTCTAGGTTGTGCCGCCCTGGGGTGTGCCTGGCCCCTTTGTGGGGGCTCGTTGCCCGTGGATGCTCCTGCGGGGTCCATGAACACAGTGTGGCTGTTGCGACGGTTATGGCTCTCGACGCGGGAGGGAAAAGAGAGTGTGTGTGTGTGTGTGTGTGTGTTTGGAAGGAAGGGAGGAAAAGGGGGCGGTCGCAGCGTAGAGGGGCGACAATGAAATGGCGAGTAAAGGAGGGGAACAGGGAGCAGGAGGAGGAGGAGGAGGAGAAGGAAAAGGAGGAGGTGGGGGAGGGAGTGTGCAGCTGCAGTGGGGGAGGGGGGAGGAGGCAAATATTCGAGGGGGTGGAGCGGAAAGAGGAGCCAGGGGGGAGGGATGGAACAGCAGAGGGGGCGAAAGTGACCGACTTCGCCGAGAGCTTTTTGCTGAGGGGAGCTGGGAGGCTTCTTCGGGCCTCACGTGTTTTTTTGGGGGGGCCCTCTTTGAGAGTAAATATGCTGTCCGCCTCATCTTCTAGTTGCCTCACCTGCCGCCTGCCTTGCTAGACATTGATAAATTAACAGCTGTTTGGTATCAGGCCAGAAGAGGAGCGCGCTGCCGCGCGCCCGCACCGGGGGCGTCGGCCGGCCGGCCTCCTCCCTTCCCGTGCTTCTTACCATTTGCTATACGGATTATCCATTGTCTTAGCCATGGCTCATCCCAACCCCTCTCTCGCTGAGCATGTGGCCCACGATATCAGTGTCGGAGATCAAGAAACCATAGTTCCTTTGGCATCTTACCACGATTCTCAGAGGAAAGAATGGTTATCAGCCGAAACCCGCGACCAAGTCGCTACGGGATTGAGCCGTGTTGAGACAGCCGAATTGCCCGCGAGTCTACATCATGAACTTCATGGCGGGCAAGATCATCAGGACGGCGGCCCCGGGGAGGGCCGCTCTCTTCCCTCTTCTAACCTCCCTCGGGTTCCTCGGGGAGGAGTTATCGGAGTTGTCATAGATTTGTCTGCCGACGATTATCCTACTCGTGCTCCGGTCAGCGAGCGTGATCAGACCCCGACCCCGACGAGGCGGAACGGCCCAGCCGCGAACGCCAGGCGAGGAGCCCTCTCATCCTGGATTGCTGAGTCCCCAGAAACGGTGCACTCCAGCCCGGTAGCCGCGCACCCTATCTCGCCGGCCGCTGGCCCAGCCAGTCGGCCGCAAGTCGTGGACGAGCCGAGCGGTATGGTCCCCGCCATCCCAGACGGTTGGGGTCGACCGCCCGAGACTCAACCCGTTCCGATCGCCTCGAACGGGCAGCCCGGTCAAGATAGCAACGAACAGCTTGACGACGGAGACGAGGTCAATTCTGTGGAGGATAACATAGAGTATGCCGCGTATGAGATGTCCCCAAGCCGAGTTCTGCCGTTGTTGAACGCCACCGACTGCCCCGCCCAAGGCGGATGGCCATCCCCAGGACAAGAGACCGTTGATTACGATCATTTGGAAGCTCTTGGGGAGGCGTTTGCGGAACCAGATCAAGACCCCACGACCAGCGACCTAGTCCGCGAGGCCCCAGCAGTGCCCGAGCCATTGGGGACACCGCTGCCGACCCCCGTTCTCCCAATCGCTGAGACTCCGCCCCAGGCGGCAGAGGTTGCATCGAGTTCCCATCATCATGCCAAGCATGACCGGGAGTCCACGGGCCGAACGCCAGCTCCTCAGCCTAAGAAGCACAGGAACGAAGATTACGATTTGAATGCTTCCCCGCTTCAGGAGGGATTCTATCGGTCTGCCGTCGCACCAGGCGATTGGCAGCCGTCGGTCCCCGCGGTAGCTGAGGATGACGACCCGTCTGAACCCCCTGTCACGCTCCCAGACTTGATTGCGCAGGATGAACGGGATGAGGCGCTCCGCGAGGTGGCCAAGCCACCGGGGGGCGCACGCGCGCGCCCTCGATCGTCGGCTTCGAGCCGGGGGCGGCCCAAGATCCCACGGTCTGGCGCCCGAGCAATTTCGGGGGGCACCAGTGCCACTTCCATGCGCGAGGCGCGCTGGGATCAGGGCCCTGGCTGCCCGCCGAAGGCGGAATGCAGGTGCCCAGGGAAAGCCCGCAAAGCGGGGGGGCCTTGCAGGCGCCCAGCGCGTGGGGATTGTTCCAGCGCGCGCCCCAAGTGCGGCAATCATTCGTTGTGTGAGGACTGCGTCCAGATGGAAGAACATAACTGCCAGTGCCTTTTGATCCAGGCCATGCGGGGACAAGCCGGGGCCCAGGGGGCCCAGAGACAGCAAGAAGCCATGGCCATAGAGGCCCAGAGGGCCGAACAGGCTCGGCTGGATCGTGAAAAGATGAATGCAGTCACTGCCGACGCCCAGAAGACGTTCGAGGCCGATCGGCTCGCCATGGCCCAAGCTGCCAGTCGGCGAGAGCAAGAGTTGC